TTATATATATATATTTATATATATATTATTTGCATATATATATAGATATATTAATATATATATATATATATGTATGTATGTATGTATGTATATGTATGTATGTATGTATATATATATATGTGTGTGTGTGTGTATGTATATGTATATGTATATGTATGTATATGCTTATTTTATTTTTATTTTTGCTAATATTGTTAGCTTAAGATGCTAGTACCACTTGACAATCAAAAGCCCGCTGGGCGGTATCCTTTTCCCTAGCTCTCCGACTCGCTGCAAGGATCAAATCAATTACAGCCTCATACTAAACATGGTATATCGAAACTCAACACTTTCTGTTTGTATCGTTAAATATACGCAGGAATCGTCGAAGCGTCTGGTGCTCAAGGCGATTGCTGCGCAAGACAACTTGCAGGCTGAAACGGAAGGCCGGGAGGGACTCAACAGGGACTTACTAGAGAACAAGCCAAAATAATCGACAACAATTGATCCTGCCTCAGCTACCGTTTCTGGCGCCGAATAGTGAATATGACGCGTCTTGTCTATATGTACGTATGTTTTTAATAGGCATGTTCATCAGCACACAATAAAGCCTAAAGCACACATGTCGGTGCGAAGATCTTGTCTGGTTTTGTAGACGTCGTTTGGCAACAGGACTGTAGTTCGTGCTGTAGGACATCATCACATAGCTTCAGCACCTTATTGTAATATAGCTTGCATCCGCCTGTATTTGTATAGAACAGTGTTTAGATTTGTATAATTTAGGATGTCAGCAGCAGACAATGTCATGCACTACAGTTCGGTGCGTATTCATGCCAGGTCTGTTTAATTTATGGCCGCGTCTGTGCAAGTCACCACAGTAGCAATGTCTGACCTTAAAGAAACCACAATGGCAATGTCTGATCTAGATAAAGTTATCACAATGGCAACCTTACAACCACAATGGCAATGTCTGATCTAGATAAAGTTATCACAATGGCAACCTTACAACCACAATGGCAATGTCTGACCTCACAACCACCACATTAGCAATGTCTGACCTCGACTCCTTCCCTCCCAAGATGAGATTTCTTGACAGGGAGTGCTGTGTCTTCAAATTCAGCTCGAGTCAGAAATCACAGTACGTCTATTTAAAACATAAAGCACCCGCAATTTGAGTTGCTGCGACTTTTACCATCTCATGAGAAAACTGTTTAGGCTCGCATTCCCGGCACATATTTCTAAATACGACCCTATAGGTACGGATATCTACCGTCCCGCATCCAGAGCATCCTTCAAGTGACTTATAACTATATATGGACCGGCTTCGCAACTATAGAACCGCAACTTCCCAGTAAATTTTAACAGTTTAATAAATAGCTTTAGAACAAACAGTTCTCTTCGTCATCCCTAAGTATCTCAATGAGTCCATCGGCTAGCAATGGCTTGTGCTCGCTTGTTGCCACGTATCGATAAGGCAGCAGTGTCGAGTCTTTCTCGCCCGTCTTCAACTCGATGTCATCTATAAACTCGATTTCAGATAGTTTCTTGCCATCCTGACAAAGCACACAAGACGAGCAGATGCAGTTGACTTAGGTGCTATATATATCAATGACATTAAAAGACTTGCAGCAGAAGAGCAGGTATTCACTCGCAATATGCAATAAACATATTAGGATATGAAGCCACTATATAAGTAACATGATAGAAAACTCTTCAATCTACATTTGCACCAGTACAGGATAGGGTTTCGCCGAGGATAGAGAACTGAGCGAGCAGTTAATCTACGTCGAAATGGGAGTCATTTGTCAACTGATCCAGCCATATATGTGGTTGCAAGTTTGCTCTATCATGCTCGGGATTCATAACTAAAGGCATGTATCCTCTGGATATAATCACGTTTATCTGTTTGAATGGAGCGCCGAAATACTGTCTGAAGCTACAAATGCACAGATGACCGTTGTATACATTTGCAGGCATAAGTATACACTCACACTTCAGACTAAACAATATCACAATAAATATCCATTAGATACACAACCATATTCAATCACAATCAGCTATATAACCACATGTGTGCTAATCAGGCGCAGTAAAATATGTACCCACTATATGACTATCAGAAGCATACGTGTGTGTTGTTTTTTGGAGGTGTATAGTCTGAGAGAAAATACACTCCGTATAATCGCTAGACATCCATCAAAAAGCAGTTCAAAGTATAGTTACCTCCAATATGGTTTTGCAGACGAGCACTGCTGTGTCTGTCGACATTTGTCGATTGCCCAGCACCCGGGTGGTGAATCCATGTCTGTGGATTTCGTATAAGGAGAAAAAGCCAAATAATTTGAGCTACAAGTTTTTATTAGCACTACACAACCACCATGTATACGTTCCGTCTATGTTCAATGTAATATTGCGAAAATGCGAGAATGATTAGCAATACGGACCTACATCTAGACTCGCAAAAAATGAACAAACCACAACGGATGCGCGAGCATATGGATTCCTTCGAGAGAAACGTAGATGTGAGCACGACGCCACGCACACCACGCAAGCACGAGAATAGCGGCTACAGTATCGGCATACTTCCATTGTCTGTATTGTTACATAAAGTACGGCTGATAAAATACATACGTTCTCAGACATCCAGTACGATCGCGAGGCGGGTGATCGCCCAGAATTCCACCAAAGACTACAGCATCAAATTCAGTCAAATCTTCAGGTGACAATTCTTTATCGGCCCTCAAGTCTAGTAAGCTGAAATTAAGAAATGATATAAAATGAAAAGTATGTTTCTTGGAAAGTACCATTTGAGTTGTGTATCTTATACTGATGCGAGTGAAAATAATAACAAATATATAGCATGAATGATAGATACAAAGATAAATATACAGCTATATATATATACATTATATATATATATATATGTGTGTGTGTGTGTGTGTGTGTGTGTGTGTGTGTCTAT